AATATTTTTTTATGAATATACTAACAATACCATTTATTTTATACATAGTTCTGCTAAATTTAAGAAAATATTCTTTCAACCACAAATTATCTGATATTTTATTTCTCTACATGCAAAAGTTATTATAAGTCTTCTCATACATATAACCCTTTATATACTTTTTAATTATCCTGCATGTGACAACATTGCTCTAAAATAAATTCTATCATTCTCTAAATGGTTAATAAAAGGCTTTATTATCCTTTTTGGAAAATAAAAGGACTATTTATATGAAGAATACGTAGTTCATAATGCTCACAAAAAAAAAAAAAAAAAAATGATCAATTTTTTTGTTTATATTTTTATAAAAATAAAAAGACCGTCAGGAAAAAAAAAATTGATAAAAAAAAAAAAATCAATTGGAAAAATATATGTTACCTATAAGAATGAGATTAAAAAAAAAAAAAAAAAATGATTTTTTTTGAAAGGAAGTATGATTTAATTAATTTTGTAAGAGAAACTTTTACATATATAACAATAAAATTTTCACGTAATTAATATTTATATAATTAATTTGTATTGTCACTAATTGTTTATGTTTGTTAATTCAGCAGCAAAATATATTAATTGATGAATATAACTCATAACAAAGAAACAAGGAATATACATTTAATTAATGATCAATATTCAATGAGGATATAAATTTTTAATAAAAGTAAAGATTTTTATTAAAGTAAATAAATGACCATTTAAATTAAAGAATGCTGAATGAAGTAGATTACGTAATTAAGGAACCCTCATTCAAAGCATTTATAAATATATATAAATACATCAAAAACATAGAGGCAGCTCTACATGCTCTTTATTAATTTGTTTGTTCAGTACTCTATCATAGTAGCCGCACACCCAGTTAATAAACCACCAATACATAATAATAAAATTTTTATGTTTGTAATATTTATATAATATAATGTGTCTCATTAATTGCCTATGTTTGCTAACTTGAAAGCCGCTAATTTGAGTTCCTAAATATTATTCATAACATTATAAAACATATACATGAATTAAGAGTTAAGGTTCTATTAGGAATTTAATTTTTAATAAAAGCAGAGATTTTTATTAATGTAAATAAATATCTTTTAAAAACAAGGAATGTTCAATGAAGTAGACTATATATAAAACAGTTTAGTAGTTCATAGCATTGAAAAATTATGTTTAAATTCACTAAATTAGTAGAGGAAACTATAAGTGCTCTTTATTAATATATCTGTTCAATGCTCTAGAAATGTCAATGGATAGGAAATTAATATATCATTTATATAAGGTTATTTTATAACGAATAAAATTAGTAGTTATTATTCTACATGTTTTTTATTAATTTGACTATTCAATATACTATTAATTTATTTGAAAGGACAATTAATAAATTAATCATCTTTAATAAAAAAATTTAATTTCTGTATTTTTAATTTTTTCATTGTATATACAAGGTGTTAAGAAGATATAAATACGTGCATGTTGTAAATGAAGTTCTCTGTAAAAAATATAATTCTTTTTAGTTCACATCTATGTATATATATTTTTTTTATATTTTTAGCTAGATTTGCTTCTAAAAAAAAAATTTTATAAGTTCCCAAATTTCACATTTTTGCAGATTCACGTCACAACATTTATCTGATAATGTTGATAATTCATTTCATTAACCACCTTATGCACTTTATTTCTTAAGTTTATTTAATTAATGAAAGAAAAAAATTTAGATAAATGGTAGATGTTACTTAAGGTTGTCATTATAATTAAGGAATTATTCTATTTTGTATGAAATTATTACTTATTTAAATTGGAAAATTCTATTAAAATTTAAAACAAAAGGTTAACTATGATAAAATTAAAATTTCAACTTCAAAAAATTAAGATAAAATAAAAAAGAAATTGAACTTTGGATTATAAGTTGTAAATAAGATATTACAACATATATAGTTACATAAGTTATATTATTTAAATTATTTTAAAGATGTAATTAATGGTAATTTTATACATATTTCATTTACTCAATTATTACAATTTTACTATTAAGAATAATACATTGGCATAAAAGTAATAACAGAGCTACACTATATATTGATGAAAAATAAAAATTAAACTATTAAATGATATTATTAAAATCAAATGTAATCATTTTTATAAATATAAATGGAGTATAAACATAGAAATTACAATAAGAACAATATTATATAACATTTTATGTTTATAATTTTTTTGTATTTTATTTTAATGATTCTTTTAAAATATAAAGTTGAAATACAGGTAATATATATATTATATATCCTCTTTTTTGAAAAAATATATTATTTTATTTCTGTTTTTTTTTTGGTTAATTGAATAGATTTTATGGTATTTATATAATAAAATATTATATTTTTTATATATTTAACAGATATGTAAATTATAGAACATGCAAATGGATAATGAATTATCTTTCTGATATAAAAATTGATAAGAATGAAATAAAGTTTCATTTAAATTATAATAGAGACATCTTTGAATTAGGTTAACAAAAAGCAATATTTTGAAAATTATCTACAAGTAAATCTTTCATTTTATCTATACATAGGATTAATTTATAATACATAAAATACATACATTTAAAATACATGACAAATTTTAGAAAGAAAACTAAGGAATATTTCATTTGGGGCTATGTTATTCCACATCTTTAATAGAAGCAGAAATATATAAATATTAAAAGATGCTATCAACAATATTTATTTAATATTAAATAAAACAAGTAGAGAATAAAAAAAATTGTACATAGAAAAGTATCCTGAATGAGCTGGTCAGCATATGCATGGAAAATTTAAGAGCACAGCTGGTACACATTGGTTTGACACCTTGCGTCTCCTGAAGTACTTCTTTGCATATATTAGGCACAACAGATCTGTTTGGATCCTCTTCCTAAGAATGTGAGTGAAACATACCTGTACTGTTCTGGAAGAAGTACCTAGGAGAAGAGAGATATCTGATGCTTGTTTCTCCTTCTCAAAGAAAGGATTTTTAAGGAGAAGACACAGAGCAGAACCAAGTGCTTCTGGCATACTGCTTAACCACTGGAAATATTTTCATTATGAGTCACAGGTCTAATCAAGATTTTTTTTCTAGATTGAAAATAAAATTCTATGTAAGACTTGGGAAGGAAAAACATTTGTAAATACTGTTAGAAAAACTGACTTTCAGCCTCTTGATTGATATGAGTCAGGCCCACTGGATTAAGAAAACACAGAATGCCTCAGAGGGACATGAAGACATTTTGCTACATTTAGAAATGTTCACATTTTCTTCTTATCATTGATTAACATAAGATCTCATCTGAGAAATAGGTATAAAAATGATGTTATAATATTATTATTTATAGAATTATTAAAATTGCA